ATGTATATCCATATATTTTATATATATATATATTATATATATATAAATATATATATATATATGTTGAAGATATTTGAAGACAGTAAATATATCTATAGAAATTATAAAAAAGTTTAGCAAAATATAATGAAATGTCAGCTGAAGTGGAGAAAAAAAACCTAATCTTTTCCACTGAAATTTGAACTTGCAATTTTTGCATGATAGGATCCATAGAAAATACCCCAGAGTACCGTGACAAAAACATTATTCAAATCTTTCAAGTCATTATAGGTAAGGCCCATATATTTCAATGCCTGCTTTCATTTCACCGCCACGTACGTACCCCTCACCTAGGCTTTGTCCCATCAACAATGCAGTGCGAGCACTCTTATAATTATGCTTCATAATATATCCGTCGTCATATAAACACTTCGCCACCTTTAGTACACACGCGCAGTGGACATTTATGACATCATAAGCCTCGACAGTAATTACACACAGCCGCGCAGGGCTTCGTTATCATGTTAGAAGATGCTTATTCGACATTTAATATCCAATGCTAATTTTAAACCAAATTCCATGGTTTGGGTTTCCTAAATTTAAACGACAGTGTGTTGGTTAAGACGAAACATTTAATGCATTCGACTTTGTGGGAACAATAAAGGAACCTACCTTTTCTCGGGAATTTCCAGCAATGACTGAACGAACTGCATCTATACAACTGAAGGGTCAACAAACTTTATATGCAATTTATAAATTATGCCTCGATGAATAATAATAATATGGTGAGCGCTATGCTACGCTTGTGAGTCTTTATAGCCGCCAGCACAATAAATAATCTCGATCCGTGGTGTGTACATAGGTCACGTATTCAGTTTCCAGTACAGTACCGTTATGCAACACATTAATCTTTAAAAAATATAATTGCTAAGGTTCTGTAGAGAAATTAACAATACACACTGACCCGCTCGCACCCCCATTTTTTCTTCAATACCGGATGTACAAAACGATAGCAACGGTTATACACCTCTTTATATTAACCACTAACATTTTGCCTAGGCTCTGTCTGAGCTTCTTTTTTGACCAATTTCATCTTATTTTAACAACTTTTGAAAGATAGTATTGTGCAGTAGTATATTACTGTATGCTGTATTACAGAGGGTGTTACATAGTCACACCCACTGCTGCTACAGTATGTGACTAGCTTGATTTTTTGGTTTTCTTTTTTAAACAAATAATTTGACATTTTTCACCTCACCCTCAATTTGTTCTTATTTTGTTACATTTTCCATCTCGCAGTCTCATTCTAATTATAAAATGAGTTCTTATACTTAAAAAAGTGTATATAATTTTGGATTGTGCCCGGTAACAGAAGGACTGCCAAATTTTGTTTGTATAAATACACGGTAGCCTGCCTACAGATAGGAGCTCTATGAATTGCCTTTAGTACACACTTTTTCAGGAGGTGGGGTTTATGTGCACATAAAGGAGTGTTCCCGTAGTTCTCTGCCGAAAGTAATAATGCTCACAGAGAAAGTTTATTTTGCAAACAGATTTTACAATAGCGCATTTATTATACTTCAATATTGGTACTGTTCCGAAAGAGATAAGATAAGATAGGCATATTGTTATCATGCACTTAACCAGTGGCGTACATATAGTTTATCAAATGTATCTAGATGCTCAAAGTTTTACACATAAACATAAAATATTTAGTCGTAAAGCGAAGTTATAGCATATAAATAATCATGAATTAAATCAACACACACTATAACTTTATTGAGTTAGGATCCATCAATATGAGTTGTGGACAACACGTTTTCAACATAGTAAATTTGTATTGCATTTATAACCTATCATATTTGTTTTTTAACATCTAGAGAATTGTATAATAGGCCTACAAGGAAGCTAAAAAACCCTAACAAAGAAAACAACAACAATCTCTTGCAGGATTTTGTTTTGCTTCCTTGTTTAGTATAATGCTCTCTTTTAATGTCTGATAAGATATACGGTAACTATTTTGGAACAGCATAAGGCTACAATGTTTTGCTTCCTTGTATAATACAATTCTCTATTTTAAAAACAAATATGATACTATGGCTATTTAAAAAAAAAAAAAAAAAAAAAAAAAAAAACGACCATTGTTAATTTATAGACCGTTGGCTCATCCTTTCATGTATCCATGTTGTTAATTCTCAACTCCAGAACTACTTGAATATAAATCAAATTTTAAATGATTCACAATCTGGTTTCCGGGAGAGATTTCCGACGAACACATATATGCCTCATAATCATTTAAACGATTTTCAATTAAATCTAAACATTTTTATGGCAATGTTACGGTTGTGGTTTTATTGTGAAATTAAAAAGGCGTTGGACACAGTAAGTTACTCTATACTCAGGGCCTACCAAACTATATCACATGGAGTGTCACCCTCATCAGTCAAATAGGTTAAATCTATAAACAGAAAACAAACTCTGTCTGTAGTACTCACTCTGAAACTCTCCAAATTAAGTCAGGAGTACCACAAGGCAGTATCCTTCGCCTACTGCTTTTCCTTTATATATTAATGATGTCATAGGCTCGGCCCCTAATGGCGTAAATTCTAAAGCTCTCATGCACTGAGCTATATGACACTGCTCTTTTCGTTAGTGGTAAAAACCCCAAAGAAATCGCATCTAAATTAAGTGAAAACCTAAAATCGTGTTTTTCAATGGTGTATTGATAATAAACTTTCCATCCATTCCGATAAGATTAAATCTATTTTATTTGGTACAAACGAGGTCTCAAAAATCACAGAAAGTAAAAGGTCCAATTCAATATTATAGAGGCCTATATACACGTAAATCTTCGTTTAAATACATAGGTTGTACGCTTGATAGAACATTTATGTTTGCTTGATGTGTGGGTGTTCAATCATAGTCTCTTATACACATCTAGATGTGTATAAGAGACAGATATTTATAGAGCTAAAAAAACTGTGCGCGAAAAACATCGAGCCGCATGAATCCCTTTTTGATTAAATAGTGTGTTTTTATTTTCTCTGGGTTTTAATTCACTCATTGGTGGCGCTGTTGAGAGAAAATAAAAATACAGACAGGCCTAGGGTAGTCTAGCCTAGCTAGGCTAGACTTTGGTTTTTTTAGGCTGGCTTAGGCCTAAGAAGTTTTTGACCAGGGAATCAGGCATACACAGTAAGCAATACTGTAATATTAACAATAATTTTAGCCGGATTAGACCGGTCTGTAGAGCCTAGGCTAGGGCCCATGCCTCGTGGCCTAGGCCTACTACACTAAGCTAGCTAGCCGGTATTCAGCTAGCCTAGCTAGGCCTAGGCATAGTAGTAGTACTCTAGCGTCTAGGCCCTTACTATGTGGCTACCAGGCATAGTGCCTAAGTAAGTGGTAAAGTAGTGCTAACTAGCCTAGGTGGAAGAGGCGAGCGGCTTACCATAGCCCTAGGAATAAACTAAACTAATTCGTCCTTTATAATTTAATAGATCAAGGTTACCCTTCTCGAGTTGGCAGGCTTGTTATTTAAAAAAAAACGAAAAAAAACTGTAGCCTAGGCCGCATAACAAACAATTATTAGTTTATCACCCCGCCCCCCCCCCCCCATCACTTTTCGTAAAATTCTGATTTGATTTTTTTTTCAATCATCATATATTTTTATCTCAAACGGTCGTTTTCCCATCTGTTTCTTCACTTGAAAACAACAATATATCTTGCAGATATGTTTACTGGTACAACAAAAACATCTTTTTTAATAAAATTTGATTCCGTTTTTATGACTTTTTATAAATTTGTCCTTAACCATTGATCTATTTGAGAACATCGGTAAAATAGGGGCGGAGTTAGCAAAAAAAAAGGGGGGGCCTCCCTCCCTCATCAGTTTTATTCTTTGATAAGGTGATAAACTAATAATTATTTTTATGGGGCCTTACAGTATGGGCCCTAGCATGTTTGCTTGATGTGTGGGTGTTCAATCATAATTCAGAATAGATGCCTTCATGGATTGAAGTTTGTTAAGGAGGGAGAAAGTCTGTTAAGGAGTTTTTCAGGAGGCAGTCATACTGAAAGTAAGCATCTGTAAGTAAACATTTGCATGGATGATACCTTAAACTCAAAAACAATGAAAATAGGTGGGCAGAATTGCAACTATGAAATACTTAGGCAAACCCTTTCAATTCAATGTTTACATTGGCCTATCTGAAACGCTGGCGGCGCCCTACCTTGGAGGCAAAATGTCTGTGACAGGTATAGGAGAAATGCATGGTAAATTAAGATGACTAGGCCTGTGTTGTAGTGCAGAAATACGAAAGCTACATGAATGAAATTCACGTATAACATAGTAAATGTATCAGGGTCGTCATAGATATCGGTCGGATGGCCAAAATCAGTTTTTGATTTAACACCGAGGGCAGCACGCTAACTTTGATGTTTTCAGTATGCTTCCAAAAAACTTCAAGCACTGCTTTTACAGTACACCACCTTATTCTCAGTTCTAACATTACTTTTTACAGATGATTGTTGTCGAGTCATAGAAAACAAGGCGTTTTCTAGCCAATGTTGCTTGGAGGGCTGCACACATAGGATTTTTAATTCATTTTCACAGGCCGCAAAAATATCGCTGGCGGGCCGCATGCAGCACGCGGACCGTTCTTTGCCCACCTGTGTTTATTAGGAATTGATGAAAAAAACACAAATTTACGAAATTATATTTTTTCTATTTTTTTTTTCAGTTTTTAAAGTCATTTTCGTCTTATGATGTTAATTCAAATCTCTTTATTCACGCTCATTTTCTATAATCTAATACAAAATTCATTGAAGCATTTCTTAACTCAGAGGCGTAACTTAACTAAATTAATTTATGATTAGAATTTGAATATTTTTTCTTTTTACATAGATGATGTGGATACATATTTGTTGGTTTGGTGGTGTTGTCTTGCGCTTTGGTCTTCTCATCTACGGCCATTGGCAAGATTCGACAATGGCGGTCAAGTTCACGGATGTCGATTACTACGTGTTTTCAGACGCAGCCAAGCACATTTCAAAGGTTGGTAAACATATAATCTTATTGCACCTAACCATTCACCTCCCACACCATCATCCTACCGTACAGTACCAATCGTCCTTTTCCCGCAAGCTTCACATCAGAAATGCACTGCCTGCAATTGGCACTGTACGTTCTTTATTTTGATTCTGTTCAATGTTATTGATTAATAAATAATTGTTTGTTATTTATTATTTGTTAATATATTTTCTTTAGTGTTACCAAATTTTTAAGGTACTATTTGTTGTTTTAGACACTACAGTATTCTCCAATAAATGCCCTCAAACTACTGCTTAATTTTATGAGACTTAAGTTTATTCGGAAAATATATGAACATACAATTGCATAAAAGTTGTAAAAGGAAAACAGCTGTGTTCCTTCATTTTCTGTCTTACAAGAACTAAAAAAGGACAGAAACATTTTACAATGTACATTTTTTTTTTCAGGGAGAATCACCTTATGAAAGATCTACATATCGCTACACGCCTGTTCTTGCCTTTCTATTGCTGCCAAACATCTACGTGGCTGAAGTGATGGGGAAGCTACTGTTCATCCTCTGCGATTTACTGACAGGGATTATGATATACAAGTTAGCTGACTTGCGCGGTGCACCAAAGACAGCGGCCGTTTGGTGCTGTGCATTGTGGATGTTTAATCCACTTCCGGCTGTGATAGCCAGCCGAGGAAATGCAGAATCTATAATGACGATGCTGGTGTTAAGTATGTTGTATTTCTTTTCGCAAGGTCGTGTAAAGATGTCGGCGGCAGTGTTTGGTTTAGCCGTTCATTGGAAGATCTACCCGATCACCTACGCATTGCCAATGTACTTGGCCCTCGCAGATAGTACAAATAATGCTGGAATGTTGGACTTATTTTGGCCAAATAAGAAACGGCGAGAACTTGTGCTTGTGTCTGCCTTTACATTTCTAATTTTAACATGTTTAATGTACTGGCAGTAAGTATCCAACTAATGAACAATTTTTTTAATGATATTTCCATACTGTACAACTGTACATACTCAGTGGTGGGCTTATAAGGTGCATATTATTCTTAAAAAAAATATTCATAAATAATTTGACTACAGTAGTCCTAAAACTAATTTATGGTTGTCCATTGACTCTGAGGAGCCAGTGGTGGATCTAGAGCCGGCCATAGTCTGTGTCCCGGAACAAAATCCCTGGTTGGTGTTCATGGGGACAGATTTTATGGTTTAAAGTGGCACAAAAGTGTGATTTTAGATGCCAGTATTAGGGATGGCAATTAAATGACTTTGTTTTGATCAGTAAATTTTTATTTTTAGTCCGGCAACAGGGGGTGACAGTTAATGGTTGTCTGATGCATAAGTTCAGCTTTTGGTTATTTTTCTTGCTATTTTTTTGTATTCATCATTATTACCATCACCATCATCATCATCTTACATTTATAAATTGCATAAATGTTTAAATATTAATGATGATCTATTATAAATTAATGTTATATAGGTATGGTTATGAATTTCTTCAAGAATCCTACTTCTACCATCTCACAAGACGTGACATTCGACATAACTTCTCGCCGTACTTCTGCTTGCTGTACCTGACCGACGAATGGAGCGCTTCGGTTTGGCTGGGCCTGTTGACGTTCCTACCACAGGTCATTCTTCTCGTAACCGTATCATTTTGTTTGTACACGAATCTTCCTGTGTGTTGCTTGGTACAAACTTGTATATTTGTGGCATTCAACAAAGTCAGCACTTCACAGGTAAGCCAATTTCAATATGTATTAATAATAAAAATAAAAATGTAAATGCAAGTTTTTTTTTTTCAAAGCGCTACATTAATGATAATATGTATGTTTTTAGTGCTCTACACAACCCACATTATTACCCCGGTCATTGAAGTGATGGCTATTGGGGAAATGCCATAGCTGCATGAAATAAATTAGCACATTTTTGCACTCAACTTACTCTTAATGTTTATACTCAATAAAATACTTGAAATTTCTGGTAACGTCTGCGAGATAGGTTGATAGAAAGGAATAATCTTGGGCACAGTGGTATAACAAGATTCCTATGGGGTGCCTGGCTAAAGACTTTTTTGGGCCCTACTACTTATGATTGTGTCTAAATAGAGAGCCCAGTGGGGCATAGGGCAAACTGCCACCTTGTAGTCTTTGAAGCTTTAAGGGCGTATATTTTTTTATTTTTTATTTTATATTCTTGAAAAGGCCCTGCTTGGTCGATTTAGAGTGCAAAATGAAAAATTCTGATAATTATCTACCTGGGCCCTTTAAGGTCAGAGGCCCTTGGCACCAGTGAGAGCTCTAAACTGTTATGCCACTGCTTGGCACCTGGATTAAAAAACCAATGCGTTTGAAATGACAATAAAAGAAACAATGATGGACAAGTTTAAAGGGTCTTGTAACATAACAAAACTTATCTTTACTTTTGTGTTTCAGTATTTTTTGTGGTATTTGAGCATCTTACCCGCAGCATTACCTCACGTTGTACATGAACCTTTAGCAGTTCTGTCAAGCTTTGTTCCATGGATATTGGCCCAGGTAAAAGATTAGCCAACAACCCACATCACTATCAAGTTTTTCTTTTGGCATATTGTGTAAAATAATAATAATTTGTATACAGTGCACACAAGTATACTCAAACAAAGATCTCGTTTTCAAGTGACAACCTTCTCCATTCGCATAACCACATCCCCTTCCCACAACTACACCAATCCCCCACATACCCACACATACACACCTATTCACAACCTCTTACAAACCATATGGTATGGATTATGTTGGTGCATATTATGGTTTGGTTGAGTGAGTCATGTGTATTAAGTTATAGCATTAATTATTGTGATTATATATTTTACACTAATCATTGTGTTTATATATTTTCTATAGGCATCATGGTTATTCTTTGCATACCTACTGGAATTTGAAGGACAACAAGTGTTTTTGTGGCTATGGCTTTGTGGTCTGCTTTTTTTGTTCTCTCATGTTGGTCTGATCGGAGACTTCATAACATGGTCAACATGTTCTAAATGTTCTAAAGCTCCCAAAGTGAAGACAACATGATAAGCAACAGTAGTTTTAAATTGAAATTGAATGTTCCCAGTATTCTATTTTCAAGTGGAGTGGTAGCTCCTGAAGATTGCTGACAGGGAGTCCGACATCTGACAGGGTGTCTGAGCCAGTGGGCCGACTAGGGCCTTTGTCAGGGTCCCGGTATAGAAATCTCTAATAGGATTCACAGGGAATTTTTTTTGTGGATAAGTAAGTCAGATTAAAGGGCTGTGGGGCCTGGGGCTGTAATTGCAAGTGGGCCTAAATACTCCATGACTAAAACATAAAACCAGATTTTCGGTAATTTTTCTTGGAGTTCGGGGGCCTATTTTTCCCGATTGGGGCCTGTGGGCCTGGGGCTGCTACCCCAAAAACCCCTGTGTTGATCTGGCCCTGTGGATTAGTATAATTAAAAATCAAAATAATGCTACTTCGATAGATTAATTATTTTTGATCTGATGACCTGTTTGTGGCATCGGATTACTGGTGTACAGGCCTGTCCGACGCTTGTATATGTTTAGAAAAATCTTTTTTTTGATACATGTAATGTAATGTATTGTATTGTGAGATTTATAGTAATGTAATTTACCAAAGATTCAGAGTGCTGCAAAGATTACAAAAAGTCACAAAAACAAAATGACTGGAAAAATAAATCTATGTATTGCCGTCAAAATGTGTTATTACATGATCATAAAAGACTTATTGATCCTAACCAAAAATGTAATTCTACTGGAGAAGAACATTAATATAATATGTTGGGAATAATGTTGCTTTATTAGATTTGTTTACGTTAAGTAGGGTTTTTATTCAAGGAAAAAATAAATGCCTTTGGGCGTTTAATTCGAGGAAGGCAAATGGGGCGTTTATTTGAATAAAAGACGGTGTAATCTGTTAAAGTATTAAATCTATGCTCAGTTGCATTGTTTAACTGTAAAAATTGTTTATAAAATTGTGCAACTCGTCTGTTGTCTTTTATATTACGATAGTACTATATTTAAAATTAAGAGTTAAGCAGCTATATAAATACCAGGTGGGTGTGGAATTCTAAATAAATAATCATTTAAAAAATAGATTAAAAAAAAAGTAAAGCTTCTTTAGACATCCCCAACAACATGCTTAGGTAGATAGCATGATACCTGCCAAAATTTAAGTAATAAAAATCGGGAGAACAAAGTACGGTGAATGTGTTACTTCATAAATTGTTATTTTAGCCCTACCCGCCAACCGAGGGCCGGAGGCTGAGCGGGGGCTGTTCCCCTCTCGTGTCCCCCTCTCACGAGGTGGTGGTCCGGGTGAGAATCCCCCGCAAGCTTCATGATTTTTTTTTCTTTTTATCGAGCCAAAATGATTGATTTGGATATGTAACTAATTACTAATTTGTAAAATTTGATTTAGGCCAAATTCGACCATTCGTATGTAGTGATAAAATTCATTCTTAAATCAAGAGAAGCTGGGGGTCGGGAGAACGATTTTCAATCGGGAGACAATTGTCTCAAAATCAAGAGTCAACGGTGTTGGCATGTATGAAGTAGTTATTTTGAATTTGGGGATCTGCCACTGAAATAGTTTTGTTATATTATATATTGGGAGAACTTGTAAAGTCAAAATGTATAATATGGTTTTGTTTTTCATGTTTACTGTTAATTAATGTTATACATTTTGTCTGTGGTAAACAGCAGTTTTGTTTTCAACGGATAACGCCTTCTTGCTGCTTCCTACTGTCTAGATGATGGACCATTAAATGGATGAAATGAAATTGAAGTTTGTTTCTCTTCTGATGTTCTTATGTGCATACTAATACTATTAAATTCAAAGTCTTGAATATTAAAACCTTTGCTACCCTAATTTATGCTTTTTGTTTCGGAGAATCTTTATCAAGTAGCTAACAATTTATAACACTATGTAGAAGGCATTCCTTCAATATGTATATAATAATTCCATTCTTCTATAGTACATTCCGCAAAAAGCCTCAATGCGCTTTACAAAAAGAAAAGAAAACAAGCAGTAAATCATTTTGACTTAAAGTAGTACAGTACTTAAACTAAAAAGAGTTCCAAAAAAGTATATTATATATATATATATAATGAATAAATGTAGTTGGCAATACTAGCAACGTATAGTGCTCGATACACGTGATAATGCAGAGCGTAAATATTGAAAGTATTGAAAATGTAGAACTTGTAGAACTGGGTATTATC